TCACAGGCATATGCTATGATAAGTAGTGAGGAGAGTAGGCAGCAGGTTCAGTTGCAGGGTCCACCTATAGAACATTTTGCACATGCTGGAATAAAAAGGGCCCTACTGAGAAAAAGGAGCAGATATGTGAATATTGCAAGAAACCGAGGCATACAAAGGACACTTGCTGGAAGCTTCATCCTGGGCTTCTCCCTGATAGGTTTAAGAATAACAACAACTCTAAGAAGGGCAGTCAGGTGGGAAAACCTAAGATAGCTAATGTTGCTACAGTACCCGAAGGGGGAAATAAGGAGAGTGAGGAGAAATCAACCATTGAGCAGTTGGCAGCAATGAAGGCGGATTTTGAAAAGTATGGGAGGCTCTTAAATCACTTGGAAGCTATGGTTTCTTCAGCTCACCCTTCCAACAACACATCATCTTCATCAGCATTTGCTCACTCCGATATTCGTGCTTCTGCAAATCATGCTTCAGTTTCAGGTAATCATAAAATCCCTTGGATTATTGATTCCAGTGCATCAGACCATTTGACTAGCCTGTTTAATCTCTTCTGCTCATACCACCTTCTCTCTGGAAAAGAGAAAATATCCCTTGCTGATGGGTCTCTTGCTCCCATCTCTGGTAAAGGGGATATAAAGCCCTCTGACAACCTTTATTTATCCTCTGTCCTTCATGTCCCTAAACTTAACACAAATCTGTTATTTGTTAGCAGCTTAACTAAATCCATGAATTGTAGCATAACCTTCTTTCCCACTCATTGTGTTTTTCAGGACCTGCAGTCTCAAAGGATGATTGGGAGTGGCCATGAGGCGAACGGAATATACTTGTTGGACACACCGGATCGAAATGTGGGACCACCTCATGGAGTTGCCTTAGAGTCAGTTTTGTCAGAGTTTGTTAACAAAATTTTGTTATGTCACCTTCGTTTTGGTCATTTGTCATTTTCTGCTTTGAGTCATTTGTTTCCAAATATGTTTAAGGGAGTGTCTTTATCGAGTCTTCATTGTGAGTCGTGTGAACTGGCAAAGCATTGTAGACATTCCTATTCAGTAAGCAATAAAATATCTCTTTCTACTTTCCATATTGTTCACTCTAACGTGTGGGGGCCATATCATATGCCAACTATGGGGGGTTACAGATACTTTATCCTTTTTATTGATGACTATTCGCGTTACACTTGGATTTATCTCATGAAATCCAGGGATGAAGTACCAGCTATTGTGCAAAAATTTCATCAACTCATCCTCACCCAGTTTAACACCCATATCAAAATATTCCGTTCTGATAATGCTAAGGAGTATTTTGAGAGAACCCTCTCCACCTATTTTGAAACTTTTGGGGTTATTCATCAAAGTTCTCGTTCCTACACTCCACAGGTGGTGGAAAGGAAGAACAGACATGTGGTTGAAGTTGCCAGATCCCTCCTGTTTGCATCCCATGTTCCTATAAAATTTTGGGGAGATGTTGTTCTTACTGCTACTTTTTTTATCAATTGTATGCCCTCTCAGGTCCTTGGCTTTAAAACCCCCTTTAGTCTTCTCTTCCCGGATGAGGATATCTTTTCTCTTTCTCTCCGTGTTTTTGGGTGCACTTGCTATGTGCATATTCACAGTCATCAAATGAACAAGTTTGAACCTAAGGCTCATAAATGTGTTTTTCTGGGGTATGCTTCCACACAGAAGGGATATTGCTGCTTTGATCCAATTCGTGGCACTCGCTTTGTATCTCGGGATGTCACCTTTGCTGAGTCAACTCCTTTCTTTAGCATTCCTCCTGAGGGGGAGAAATCTAAAGAGCCCTTTGCTATGTCTCCAACTGTTCCACTTCCCATTCCTTGTGATTCCTATCATGAGGTGTCCACTTCTCCCACTAGACCTACCTCCGATATTTCTCCTCTTCCACCTCATTCACCTACTATTCCTCCTCCTCCTGTTCTTCAAAGGTGGTACCAAAGGCAGAGATTCAGACATGGGCAAATTGTTTCCACTCCTTCAGAAGAGCCTCTTGCTTCTCCCATCATTCCTGAGGTAATAGGTCAGCCTTCTACTGACCCATCTCCGGATCCGGCCTTCCCAGACCTTGACCTTCCTATTGCTCTCCGCTAGGGCAAGCGGAAGTGTACAGCTCATTGTATCTCAAAATACCTGTCTTATAGCCTTCTCTCCCCTTCCTACTACTCCTTTCTTGCATTTGTTTCTTCCCATGTGATACCCAGGTCTGTACCGGAAGCCTTATCTCAAGCTGAATGGAGGGATGCTATGATGGCCGAATTGGATGCTTTGCATAAGAACCATACCTGGGATATTGTTGACTTGCTTGAAGGGAAGGAACCAATGGGTTGTAAATGGGTGTTTACATTAAATATCACTCTGATGGCTCTATTGAGAGGTTTAAGGCTCGGTTGGTTGCTAAGGGCTACACTCAAATGTATGGTATTGACTATCTTGAGACATTTGCTCCTATAGCTAAGATGACCTCAGTCAGGGTTCTGTTATCTCTAGCTGCTACTTTTGACTGGCCCCTACACCAGTTTTATGTTAAAAATGCCTTCTTGAATGGGGACCTGTATGAAGAGGTCTATATGTCTCTACCTCCAGGGGTGTATGGGAAGGAAATGCAAGGCAAGGTGTGTAAACTGCAGAAATCTATTTATGGTCTTAAACAGTCTCCTCGGGCTTGGTTTGAAAGGTTTAGGGCTGCTCTTGTCTCTTTTGGCTACACTCAAACTCAATCTGATCATACCTTGTTCTTGAAGAGAAATGGCTCTCTAGTGACCTTCTTGATTGTTTATGTTGACGATATTGTGGTCACAGGTAATGACACTGAAGAGGTTAGTAAACTAAAAGGATTTCTCAACTCTGAATTTGAGATCAAGGATTTAGGAGATCTTCGGTATTTTTTGGGCATTGAAGTTGCTAGATCTAAGGATGGTATCTTCATTTCTCAGCATAAATATGTCCTTGATCTCCTTGCTGAGACTGGTAAACTTGGAGCTAAACCAATCTCCACTCCTATTGATCCTAATCATAAG